GTGCAGGCGGCCCCGGGGCTGCAGGACGAGCAGAGGCAGAGCCGTTTCCCGCCTTTCCCCGCCCTGGCGAAGCAGCGCTGTCACCGAGGCCGAAACAGTGCCAGGGGCTCGGGTTTCTTGGGGCAACACCTGCACGGGCACCTCAAGACCCGCGACTGAGCCACAGTCTCTTCATCCTCTTATTGAGGGATGGCTCCTGCCATCCTCTCGCGACCCTCCCAACCTGGAGAGACGGAGCTCGGCTGGGAGGCAAGTGCCCTGCCTCCGCTCAAGGCTGAGCTCTGCTGCAGCTCACGGATGGGTGGAGAGTCCGATTGTGGAGCCGCGCGCCTGTCCGGAAAAGCCGCAGGTCTTTCTGCAGGGGAGAGTAGGCCGGAGGCTGGGATTCTCACCCTTTCCTCCCTCTGCTTTCTCCTCGCTTCGACGGCAAGACGCTTTACCTCAAAACAGTTGACTACTTGGTTAAGGTTGCCGCACCTTTGGGGCCAGTTGCCAGCCAGCTCCTCCCAGCTCTTGATGTTGACATCCGTTTTCTTGAGATCTGCCTTCAATGTGTCCTTGTAGTGTTTCCTCTGGCCACAGCAAGATCTCAGGCTCTTGTTTAGCTGGAAGTAGAGCACTTGTTTTGGGAGTCAAGAGTCAAGTGTCTGCATGCATCTGGGCCAGATAAGTCGCTGCTTGGGGATCACTGACTCAGCATGCTGTACGCTGTCCTGTGCCACATTGTTCCACTTATGGTGCAGAAGCACATATCTTAGGGCAGGGCACTCACCACCTCTTGGATCTAATCATACACTTCCACAGAATTGGGCACTAAATATGGGGCCTTGAAGGCTTGGATGGGAAGGTGCTCTTTTTGGGTTGACTGAGAGCACGGGAAGAAGACCAACACACTGCGCTCCACTTGCACGTGGACTGGATAAGGTCTTGCGTTGCTGGAATGCGCAACTACCCTAGTTTCTTGCCTACTGCTTGCCTTGTAACAACCATTGTTTATCTGCCTATCAGGTAAACAGTTTAGGTGCACAGCATCTTTCAACCCTACCCTTAACTTTGTAACTTAATGGTACTCCTGGTAACTGCATTGGAAGCGGATCTGTCACTGTGTCTTGTTACAGTGATGTATTTAGCCGTGCTGGTCCAGGAATTATGCCAGAGGCAAGGATTTCTTCAGCTGATGTCGTTTCCTGGCCCAACTGCATAGTTGGGATAGAGCTCCACAAGACTTTGCATGCAATGCATTCTTTTTCAGATCTGATTTCCCCCTAAGGAATCCACCCTTGATCTTGATCTGTTTGATCTTTGTGCTTTCTTTTCCCAAGTGGGCCTTTATTCCATGAAACATAGGTAGAAGCTCTGATTGTGAACCAATGGTTGGGGCCACCAGAAGTATCATTTTCCAAGATGGCATTCCATCCAGGAAGAGCACACGCCAACTGTTGAAACTTCCTTAGCCTGACAAAGGGTTTTTGAACCTGAAAGCTTCCTTAATAATTGTTTTCCAGCTATTTAAGTTGGTCTAATAAAAGATATTGGATTCACCCAAAGAACCTTGTCATTTTCCAAGTGAAATGGGAAATCCAGTGCTTTTCCCCAAAATAGTGGCATTCTCCTGAGTGTCCTAGCAGCATTCCAGTACATGTCATTGTGTTCTGCCTCCCTGAATGCCCTACACTTTGCATTGAAGAGAGGATTAGTCACTTCCTGTTCCAGTCAGCTGTGCTGTCAAATTTATTCACAACTGCTGGCCTGTAACACTGCACCTCAGCTTGGTGGACAAAACAATCCTTCTCTGTAGTTTGCACTTTGAGATCCTTCAGGAGGAAGAAGCCCAACATAAACGTAAAGGTATTATCAGTACAACAAATCCCTAATTTTTAATTTTCTCTTTTATTCTTTCCAGATCTTGCTTGCGTCTGCTACTTTCAGTTTTTCTATTTCTTCCTCTTTCAGGCTACACAACTTCTTGTCAGCTGGGAATGGCAGAAGTAAACTTCTGCTTCAAATCTTTCCCCTCACTCTTGAAAGAGAACCTTATTATTTATGCACCAGGAAACCCAGCCAAGATCAGGGGCCAGTTGTGCTGAGCACTGTACAAACACACAGTATGGGCCAGTCCCTGTTCCAACTGTCATACAATCTGAAGAATTCAAACCACAAAGACTAATGCACGCTTACATCAGACAGGTAGACAAAGGATGGGAGGGGAAGCAGAGGCATGGAAAAGTGAAGCATGATTTTTTTCCATCCTCAGATAAAAGCCTATCTTCATTATTTTTAAGATCCTGAATGTATGCAGTCAAGGTTGGATGATGGTTGACTTCACTGAAATCAGTGGAATTCTTGTACATGAGTATCTGCAGGATTGGTAATTAAGATTTTAAAGCATATTCTCTCTTTTTGAAAAAATCTGTGTTAATAGCAGCTTGGGTTACTAAAACTGATCTAGCTTAACATACCTAACATACTGTCACTGTTCCTTTATTTTGATGGAAGCCAGTAAACAATTAGTAGGGATAACATGGAATGTGACATTTATATTAACTCATTGCTTGAACACAGCTTTCTTACCTCACTACTTTTCCCTGAAGCTCTCTAAACTCTGAAAAGTTTGATGAGATTTTACTAATTTCTGCTACATTCAGTTTGAACCAGGCAAACCAAAAGTCTCTTAACAAGACTACTTGTGTAGCGGTCTCTAATTACATTTTACTTTTTGCCATTTGGTGCTATTAATAATTATTTTATGAGAAGCTTCAACCATCCGATTAAGAAACAAAAAATACCTACCATATCAATACTAAAGAAATAACACCATGCATAAACAAAGGGAAATTTACAAATAATTCAAAGGCTTTTCTTTCAGTTTTTTGGTGAATATTTTAGATATATTTACAGAAATTAATAAACAATTCAATTATAGAAGGAAGGACTAAATTTATGAGGAATTTGATTTAAAATTAATAAACCCTTGTAAAAGAAGAACCACAAAGAGGAGAGCTGCAGTTTTCAAAAGAAAATGGATTTGGTTTCACTTCAGGACTATGGTAAACCCCTGTCCCAAATGCTTATGACCTGAAATACATTCTGTCCTGCGTTAGGTGGCTGCACATTGTAAAGAAGGGAGATTAATTCTTCATCATTATTCATTATACTTCCTTGAACACGTAATGGAGTTGAATTTCATTGTAAAGTTACTGATTCGCCTCTGTGTTAAATTTAAACCAGCCAGCTTAAGGCAATGTGAAATTGTTAAGGAAAGCATCATTTATCCTGCTTAGTGACTCTCTCTCCCCCTCCTCTTTCTAGTTAGAACATTTTCCCTTCTCTCTTTAGACTTCACATTTACCTAAATATTAATAAATACAGCCAAATTGCAAAACTGTAAAACAGAAGAATTGTAACATCTGTTTTTCACCAAAAAATGGATTGTGAGTTCTTAGGAGATCTCCTACTTCTCTACTTGTAGATTTTTATTTTGGAAGAACTCAAAAGCAGTCAGGATTGGTATCTTTTGTGATAGCTGCTGTATAAGTATTTGAGAAAAGACAGTCCTGCCTCAAAGACCTCACAGTCCAAGGGAGTCATTTTGCAAAGACTTAAATACATTAATAGCTTTACTCACATGAAAGTAATGACCTGCAAGCCCTGATGAGTCAGACCTCTAATATATGTACTTAATTTTAGGAAAGAGTAGTTCTACCAGTCACAGGGATTACATATGCAAGTAAATTTACTAATGTGTCAACATTTGCAGAATTGGTCCCAAGCTGATCAGGTGCGAATCTTTTAGTTTTTTCCTTTCTTTTCATATTAGTATTTATCATTCCCTATTTTTAATCTCCATGATTATTTTAACCTTCGATGTTTACTGAAGTTATTTATGCTAATTTTTTCTTCTGTTTTTGCCTACAGCTAAATTAACAATTTGAGTTGGGGCTGGATCATGAACTTTTTATCACCCAGTGCACCAGTGAGCCATATTCAAAGACCTCACAGGAAGTGACATCACATCAGGAAGTGATGTCACATGACCTTTGACACCAACGAAGTTGCAGGAAGTGACAATGAAATGGGTCTGCTCCGCAGGCATTTCTTATGTTTTTAATTTTACTCTATCTTCTTTCACTGTGCCTGAAATATGCAGAACTCTTTCATTCTCTGGCTGCAGAAGACACAGGTGATTGAGGCACATCAGGTGAAAAAAGTCTGTGCACCGCAGTACAGTCCTGTTTCACTAGTACTATTTCAGTTTGTACCCCTGGAGTAAATCTCCAAGGCAAGAAACATGTTGGCTGTTTGGCACAGCTCTCCAGTGCTGCAAAAATATGTATACCAAGGCAACAGACAAACTATATGTACTAAATAAACAAACAATACTCATATTTAATAGGACAAATCCATGGAAGTCAATAGGAGTGTAACAGGGTACTGTCCCGGGGTGGCCGTGACATCCCTGGAGCCCCCCCGAGCCCTGGTCACCTTTATGTTCTTTGGGCAATCAACTCAAAAGGCCCCAGAGCTCCCCAAGCTAGATTGTATATTCTTGAACATAGGCGTCACTACTCTTTGCCTTCATGGCTAATCACCTGGTCTTCTCATTTCCCCTCCCCTCACTGCCGGCTAGGGCCCGCGGGCCGACCCTGTCCTCCTCACCACTGCCCCGCTGCCGCGGATCTGCATTCTGCCGTCGCAGCCCTGCCGGCGCTGTCTCAGCTGCTGTGGCTCCCCGGGGGCGCCGCTGCCCCCGCCGCCCCAGGGGCAC